TGGGGTCGGGAGCGCCGATCCATGTTTCACGGGGGGCGAGGCACGCCGAGGTCTGTGACCAATAGGTCCTTTTCGGAGTACAGGAGCCCAGCCAGGTGCGTGGCGGCACTTGGCACTCTGCCGCGCGTCCGTGTGCCGTGGGGCAGGGTGACGGAGTAACCCGTCTGGTATCTTGTCGCATGTAAGCGGCTTGGTGCTTCATAGCTTCTACCGGGCCGCGGTGGGGAGGGGGAGTTCAGCATCCAGTCCAGGGAGGGGGGGCCGGAGCGGGGGATGCCGAAGGGGAAGGAGGTCTGTTCCGGAAGAGTTGGTACCCAAATTATTTCGATAGTTATGGCGAATATGAAATGCGGCCGTCGTTGAGGCGAGAACGTGCAGGCGATGGCCTCGTCGTAATCGTCGCCGCCGCCTTCGCGGCCAACTGCGTATGTACCTCGAGATGGGGATTCTGAGTTCTTTCGCCCTTCTGTGGCCGCATGGGGCGCTCTTGTCGCCACGGCTGGATTTCTCAAACAAGTTTGGCTGGAGATCACCGCAGAAGAGGCCCAGGCGGGTGATTTTGGGAGATGCTGCTGGCCCCCATCACTCTCCCTGCTTCCACCTCCCCCCTGCCTGCTCCCTGCCTCCTCTCGTCCACGCGCTCAGGGGAGAGGGGGAGGGGGGAAGGCTTCTTGGTGGGGGGAGGCTGCTTCTTGGATGGCGCGGGCCCCACATCTATAGACAAGGCCGGCGCTTTCACAGAAGTAACCTCCTTCTAAGAAGCCTTCCCCCCTTCCCCTGCCCCCCATTGCGCGCCGCCAGTCCTCCCTGTGTGTGAAGTCCGCTCATATCACTTTCTATCCATCTATCCTGCTACCGTCTCGGCTCAGGTATTGGACATTGGACAGTCCTATTGGACAGCACTCGCGCCGCGCATCCCGCGGCACATGGGAAAAGGGTTCTCTTCTCTCTTCCCAATCGTCTTCTACCTGCGGACCACACGGTAGGTTCGACTTTGTGGCTGTCAACCTCCGTACACGCTCCCTCTGTCCTACCACCACACTTTGCCCCCCCTCCTCTCTCTCCTCCACCCCTCTGTTCCGCCTGGGCCGTTTCTCCACTCACCCATGCGATGCCCCCGCCTCGCTCCTCTCCTCGTCGACCTCTCCTCCTCTTCCCCCTCCTCCTCTTCCTCCCCTCCTCCTCCTCCTCCTCCTCCTCCTTCTCCTTCTCCTGTTGCTTCTCCTTCTCCCCCTCCTCGTGTCTTGCTCTGCTCTGCTCCTCCTCCTCCTCCTCTTCCTCCCCATTCCCGCCCCGGCAGCTTCTCTGGCGCAGCGGCCCAGCTCGGCTTCTGCTTCGGGGTGCGCTGCGTGGGCGTCCGGATCGGGGATGGCGCATTGCCGCGGGGAGCTCATGTGGAAGGCCACCTTCGTCGATGTGGGGAGCGACGAGCGCCAGGGCTCACTCAGTCCTCGGCCCTCCAGCGAGCCTTGCAGCGGGTCGTCACCTCTTCGCAGTGCGCGCTTCGACGCCGACCGCATGGGCGTTGCTGCGCTGTCGAAGCACATTGAAGAGGTCTGGGCCCCGAACAGCAAGGAGGTGATGAGGAACAGCCTCAAGAAGCGGTGCATGTTTGCACCCGTAGATGCCATCCTCCTCCTGCCAGAGCAGCTGAGCAGTGTGGTGCAGACCACGGCGAAGAGCTTAGCTGGCTGCGTGAAGATCGACCTGTCCTTGGTGCAGAGGGCCATCCGCCGCGTCGGCGTGGACGACGACGTCGTCGATGTGGCCATCGATCAGCTGGACAGGATTCCAGAGATGATCAGGATATCCTTCGACTCGAAAATAGTGAAGGCGAACAGGGCGATGCGTGTCAAGCAAAGCGACGTGATGGAGAAGTTCAAGGGCCGTGCCCCTGAGGGTCAAGAAGTGGTGACGCAGCTGTGGACCATAGAGGAGTTCGAACAGATCGTCTGCCAGTCGGTCGACCAGGCCGCGCAGGATTCCCAGCGCGAGGCGGCCAGTTGTTGCGACCGCGTCCTGCGAAGCTTGCCAGAGGACGCGAGGCTCAGCCGCCAGGCGCTCAAGCATGCCAAATCTTGTGTCGTGGAGTCGGTGCTAGAGATGCACTCCGCGTCGACGCGGGCCTTACGGAGCACGATCAACGCGAACGTCGAGTTCGCCTTTGCCTACGTGGCCGACCCCAGGGAAGTGCCCGTCACGAACACGAGCCACTTGGCCGCAGATGTGTCTCTGCGGGCGACGACGGGCACCCCGCCGCAGAGGAGCAGCGCGTCCGTGCACCTGTCCGGCCACTGCGCGGCCGGCACGCAGGCCTGCGCGAAGGACGGCGGCGGCGACGGCGCTCTGGCGAACCACCGCGGTCAGAGGCAGGCCGGCCTCGCCCCCAGCGCCGAGTGCACCCACCCCTCCAATCCTGGGAGCCTGGGCCACCCCGAGATGTGCGTCGAGGCGTGCCTGCACTTCGCGCGGGGCCAGTGCGCGAGCGGCGACGGTGACGAAGCCTACACCCTCCTGCAGCTGTCCCTGGACACGCTGCTCGGGGTCAACGGGTCGGCCGCTCCCGCGGCCGAGGCAAACCTAGTAGGCACTACGTGGCACCATGCGTCGTCTTCTGATGACCTGTAAGAGTGACCTGTCGCCAATGAGCGGCTTTACAAAGCGGCATCACAAGAGTGCCAGTCGACGCGACGGTAGAGGCATGACTTCGCATTTTCCACCCAGCGCCGTTTTTCACGGGCACCTTCTTCACGGGTGTGCCGCTGGGGCTGCTACTGATCATTTTTCAACGCTGCCGCTTGATGCGGTAAACTAACACGCGGCACCGCATCTGTTTCCATATGCTGAGTAGCCATTTCTTTTGGTGGGTCTACTCGAAGGATTGCAAAAAGGATTGCAAAAAAACCCAAGGATTGCAAAAAATCCTGGGTTTTTTTGCAATCCTGGGTTTTTTTGCAATCCTTCGAGTTAGGGTGTCCCACCAACCAGTGAGCGCGAGCGGCGACGCGTGCAGGTTCTGCCACTGCCCGCACCCGCCTCGGCGCGTGCCCCTCGGGAAGCGGCACAGGCAGGTTTCGGAGGCGATGGCAGCGGCCGAGTGCTTCGGCATCTTGCTGCCCGTCCTCGAGAGGAAAATGATCACGCTGCGCTTGGCCACAGACACGCTCCGGTTGCTGGCTGGTCAGCTATGCGCTGGGCTAGGCGGGGCCCCCGTCGATGCTGGCAGCAAGGCTCGAGAGCTGCGGACTATTGAGAATGCTTTTGGGGCTATGTCGATGCGGTCGCTGCTGGTGGTACTGCAAAGGAAGATGGGGCCGCAAAGATCACGCGAGAAGGCCTTGCTCGACACGCTTTTTCTGGAATTGCGCGAGGCAGGCTTCATCGTTGACTTCGGGTCGGTGGGTCAGGGGGATGCTTGAGTTCGGCTGGCTCCTCCTTGGTATCTGTTGTGTTCGCAGCAGCGCTTGGTGAGACAGCCCCAGCAGGCCCGGAACTGGGTGGAGCCCAGACGCGCAGGGCTAGGCTTGAGGCTCAGGGGTCTTGGGGCGTTGGGGGTATCGGTCCACCGCCAGAATATGTCCACATCCACCGCTTCGGAGTCGTGCCCTGGAATCTCGAGGAGCAGTGGATATGGATATCTGCCCGCCCGCGTGAGCGGGCAGATATCCATATCCGCCGCTCCCCGAGTCCTCGCAACACGACCCAGCAGCAGTGGATATGGTCAAATTCTGGCGGCGCAATCGGTGGTTCGAAGAGAAGGTCCTGAGGGATGGGGCCCTACGGACGAGGCGTTTCGAGCAATCCACCCTTGGATCCCCCCTATCCGCGCTCTTGGAAGTCCGTGCGGACCTGTCGGTTAGACGCTGGGCGCCCTTGCTGGCGCCTCTGGCGCCGCCCCTGGCGCGTGCAGGGCGCCAGGGAGGGGGGTACGTACCCTGCATCTCAGCTCAATCCACGAATCCTTTTTTCTCCCAGTTCAAACCAGTTGTGTGTCACGACTTCGGTGGAGCTGTCCGTGACCGAATCGCACCACCCAGCGAAACTTAATGATGATGGGGACGAGGAAGAAGGAGGAATGAGGAGAAGCAGGTTCTTCATAGCCCTTCAGGTATTTCATAGTCTCTGCGCCCAGCTCGCATCGGAAAGAGGGGAAAAACAGGGTACGGGGCAGACAGGGACGCTGGGGCTCGGTGAGGGCTCAAGCGGCCCCGAAGATATCGAAGGCTCCAAGATGCGTCCCGAGAGGGCCCCAGGAGGCCCAAATTGTTTCACCCCCCAGTGGGGCGGCGCATGTTTAGCATACTCGCGCCCAAAAAGGCCTACGGGACCCTACATATCGCCCCAAGACGGCCCAACAGGCCTCCAAGAGAGCCTCAGGACGGCCCAAGAGAGCCCCAAGACGGTCCAAGACGCGCCCAAGATGGCCCAAGAGGGCCCCAAGCGGAGTCCAAGAGTGGGAACTCCAACTGACATTTGGAGTCCTCCGCCACGAGCGGGCCCCCGAGGCCGCAACAGGCACCCACGAGACCCCAAAGGGCCCCAAAGGATCCCCAAGCGAGGTCTCAAGATTGTTCCCAAGACGTTTCAAGAGGCTCCAACAAAACAGAATTGGACCCCAAAGAGGCCCCAATCTGCTCACAAGATGCCCCCCAAGATCTTCCCTAACAGCCAAAAGCATTATCCTGGCGAAGGACCCAACCATATGCAGTTGTGAATGCCGCAATTGTGAATACCATCTTCGCCTGTGCTCCCTATGTGGCCACGGCTTCCCGCCGGAGCCCGACATGCTCAGGGACACGTTCGTGGCCGTCTTCGGGGGCGCCGACGACGACAAGGACGGCGTCCCTCTCACCGAGGAGCAGAAGCAGGAGAGGGCCTTGAGAGCCATGAGGGAGGAGGTGGCGTTGCACGTCGACAAGGCGGAGTACGACGCGCATGCGCGGTTGTTGAAGCAGCACAACTATGAGGCCACGATCCTCTCGAGGGATGTGCCGCAATGGCCCGGGGCCGCCATGCGAACCCTGCCACTGGCGCCTTCGGTGGAGCTCCAGTGGGGCCACGGTCCTCGTAAGGGGTGTGCCGAAATTGCCCGAGGCCGCCATGCGAACCCTGCCACTGGGGCCTTCGGTGGAACTCCCCATGGGGCCACGATCCTCGTGAGGGGTGTGCCGAAATATCCCGAGGCCGCCGCGCGAACCCTGCCACTGGCGCCTTCGGTGGAGCTCCCTATGGGGCCACGATCCTCGTGAGGGGTGTGCCGAAATGGCTCGAGGCCGCCACGCGAACCCTGCCACTGGCGCCTTCAGTGGAGCTCTCTATGGGGCCACGATCCTCGTGAGGGGTGTGCCGAAATGGCCCGAGGCCGCCGTGCGAACCCTGCCACTGGGGGCCTTCGGTGGAGCTCCCTATGGGGCCAGGATCCTCGAGAGGGGTGTGCCGACATGGCCCGAGGCCGCCACGCGAACCCTGCCGTTGGGGGCCTTCGGTGGAGCTCCCTATGGGGCCGCGGTCCTTGTGAGGGGTGTGCCGAAATGGCCCGAGGCCGCCATGCGAACCCTGCCTCTGGGGCCTTCGGTGGAGCTCCCTATGTGGCCGCGATCCTTGTGAGGGGTGTGCCGAAATGGCCCGAGGCCGCCATGCGAACCCTGCCACTGGGGGCCTTCGGTGGAGCTCCCGAGGGGTGTGCCGAAATGGCCCGAGGCCGCCATGCGAACCCTGCCAATGGAGCCTTCGGTGGAGCTCCCTATGGGGCCACGATCCTTGTGAGGGGTGTGCCGGAATGGCCCGAGGCCGCCATGCGAACCCTGCCACTGGCGCCTTCGGTGGAGCTCCCTATGTGGCCGCGATCCTCGTGAGGGGTGTGCCGAAATGGCCCGAGGCCGCCATGCGAGCCCTGCCAGTGGGGCCTTCGGTGGAGCTCCCTATGGGGCTACGAAGCGCTGTACTGGGTGGGTGAAACGCAGGGAGGAGGGGGAGGAGGAGCGGGGGCGGGAACGCGGGGCACCGTCTCTTCAAAACGAGGACCCAACACCACAGGATGGTTGGGAATTATGACACGGTTTAAAGGAGCCCCTCCGAAATGCCCAGGACAGTCCAGGAGGCACCCGATATGGCCCAAAATTGTTACAAAATGGTTCACTTTTTAATCGTCGTCGGCATGCGATCGAGAACATGAGGAGGAGGAGGAGGAGGAGGAGGAGGAGGAGGAGGAGGAGGAGGAGGAGGAGGAGGAGGAGGAGGGAGGAGGAGGAGGAGGAGGAGGAGGAGGAGGAGGAGGAGGAGGAAGAGGAGGAGGAGGAGGAGGAGGAGGAGGAGGAGGAGGAGGAGGAGGAAGAGCCGTCTGAGCATTCCGGGTGAGTCCGTCTGAGCATCCTGGGTGCAATTTCAAACGGTGCGAGGGATGGGGCGCGTGCACGAGTTGCCGCTGGCGTTTTTGATACCGTCATCCTTTCTCGTCTTGCCTCTGGCTCCAACAACTACTTCGGCGCCACCCTGCTCGCCGCGCAGCCTCCTGACTTCTGCCCTTTAACCCTTTCCCCGCGCCAGCCGGGCCTCTTGGCCTAGAGTGCTGTGAGGGTCGGGTCCCAGCGTGGGGAGGGGGTCCTAGCATTGGGGGCAAAAACGCCCGGACCGGACAATTGGCGTTTACAGAACGGCCCTGGGCGTTCACTAAACCGCCCTGCCCTGTTCGATGCCTCTTTTGGGCGCGCTTGCGAAACGAGTTCGCCTGTCGGGGTGGTTATTCCGGGGGGTGGATTTTTTGACTTCTACAGTCGGGGCCCTGAAGAAGAAACCCTTTTCGTTGGGGAGGGGCTCCGCGTTCCTTAAGTATTTCGCAGCTTGCCTCAGGCATTCCTTATGTTTTCGACAGGAAATCGAAGGTTAACTTATGGAAAAACGGGGCCTCGTTCCTTGTTTGGGGTTCCTTAGGTCAACGCCCCGACTGTACAGCAGGGGAGGCAGTGGAGGGTCGGGTGTTGAGCGCGGGGCGCCCTGCAGGCTCCGTTGGAATTGGTGGCGGAGGTGTGTGCTGCGCCGCGTGTGCTGGCCCTGCCGGCAGGGTGGGCTGCCCGAGAGGCCGCCGAGGCTCTCGGCGAGGCGGTCCTTCGCAGTGCGATTCCTCTCGCGAGGCAACAGGTAGCAAGTATGCAATCATCGAATATATTGGATACGTTGCGTTAAGGCGTTCGCTGGAAAACGCTTCCTCTCGCTTCGCGGGGTGCACGGCCCAAATCATAGATTTTCCATCGGTTTGGGGAATTTTTGAAACCCAGAAGGGGTCCACCATCTTTGTGTCGGTGGGTGTGGCGTGGCCCTGGGGTGGGGGTGAGGGGGGGAGACATTATAATGCAACTCATTGCAATATGTAGCAAGTATGCAATCATCGAATATATTGGATACGTTGCGTTAAGGCGTTCGCCGGAAAACGCTGCCGCTCAGCACGTCGCCTCCGGACGTGGATTCCTCTCGCTTCGCGGGGTGCACGTCCTGACCACGTACAGTCGAGTCGTTCTGGGGGTTCTCGGGAGTCTCTCGGGGATTTCTCTGGGGGATTTCTTTGGGCTTCTTGGGGGCGTCTCGAGCCGTATTGGGTGCTGTTGCGCCGTTTGGCCCCTGCCGAGGCCGCTTTGGGGGCCTCTCGCGGCCGCCTGGGGGCTCTCGTGGGGTCCTCTTGGGCCGTCTCGGGGGCCCCTGGGGCCGTCTTGGGGACCTCTTTGGGCCGTCTTGGGGCACCCTTGGGCCGTCTTGGGGTCCCCTCGGGCCTTTCTTGAGCCGTCATGGGGCGATTTTGGAGGCTGCTTGGGTCGTCAGGAGTCGAAGAAAGCGAGAACGCGAAAGTCCTTTAAAACCCTTCGGAAAATCAATGGCCTGGGCTTGCGGAAGGCGCTATTGGGGCTCCTCTGGGGCGTCCCAGTTCACGCGCGACTCTGTGGGCAGGTGTCGTTGCGGCCCCACCAGCATTCAATCGCTTCGCTCACTCCCCCGGCCCATCCTGCATCAATTGTGCTATATGTTGGCGTGCTCGTGGCGAGTGAGAAGGAGGAGGAGGAGGAGGAGGAGGAGGAGGAGGAGGAGGAGGAGGAGGAGGAGGAGGAGGAGGAGGAGGAGGAATAGCGGAGGGACTTCTCGATGGCTTTTTGGGGCATTTGGGGGCCAACGTTGGTCGTGGGCAGGACGCCTTTTTGGGAGGCGTCTTTGGGTCTTTGGGTGGCCTCTCGGGGGCCTGTTGGCGGTATTTCTGGGACCTCCTGGGGTCTCTAAGGGGCCTCTTTGGCGCCTCTTTGCGGGCTTCTTAGGGCCTCTCGGGGGCTCCTTGGGGCCCTCTTGGGATTTCCTGGGGGCTTCTCGGGGCCTAGAGCGCGAAACGTCCGCTCTGGTCCTCCGCCGGCGCCCGCTCTTGGAGCCGTCTCGGGGGCCT